TCTTAATTGAAGAGGCATTAATAGAACTTACAAAAAAATCTCTCTTTGTTTTCAAAAACCATCCTATTTTGGACATTTCCCTAATCAATATCATGGTTCATATTGGGTTCTGGAGAAGTCCATTAGGCTAAAGATGCAACTGGAACTTTTTTGGCTTTATTTAAATTCCCACTTTGGCAATTATCCAATAAGGCAGAGTTAAAGCCTGATCCTGGTGGAATGCCACAGAATACCAAAGCTTCTATCTTCTTTTTCTGGGACTCCTACATAAGGTTGCTATGAGTCAGGACTGACTCTACAGTACTTAACAACATCTTCTTTTTCTAGATTCTGAGAGGAAAAAATGGGAAATAAGCCCTCGAATAAGATGAATACCAGTAAAATCCAATAATCTTTTTAAAATTTTAAATCTGTACTTGCTTGCTCGTTAATCCAGCAGAATTCCATCTCTAAAGATGGCAGGTCATGGATAGGGGCTTCATTTGACTCCTGGTATGGCGCTGTAGGATCAGCACTGGAATGCGAACCACAAGGTTGCAGTTCAAACTCACCAGCTGCTCCTTGGAAACCCTATATACAGGGTCTTTATGAATTGGCAGCACTTAACAACAACTACAGGGGCTTCAGGATTGGTGTAAATTAAAGCTTTAAGTGACATGTCATTTTCTCTGTAATAAAGAGTCCAAGTATCATAGTAAAGTACCAGTATAATACTGTTGTTGTTGTTTTTGTTGTTGCTAGATACCATTGAGTTGGTACCGACTAATAGTGACCCTGTGTACAACAGAACAAAACACTGCTTGGTCCTGTGTCAACCTCACAATTCTTGCCATGCTTGAGTTCGCTGATGCTGCCACTTTGCCAATCCATCTTGCTGGAGGTCTTTCTCTTTTTCTCTGACCTTCCACCTTACCAAACATGATATCCTTTTCTAGCAATTGGTCCCTCCTGACAATATGTCCAAAGTATGAGAGACAAAGTTTGACCATACTGTAGCTTTGCTTAAATCCTTGATAGAGAAAGGCATTCTTGCAAATGGACCAGAGACTCTGGGGTTATTATTCCTAGGTCAATCAATGATGTTCTCTGAACCCTCAGTGCCTCACTCTCCAGACTTATACAAGAAAGATAATCAGGCTTTATGTCTTTAGAAATATGGAGATCTGCAGCTGATACAAATACTATTTTTTCTTGATGATCCACACTGAGTAGAAACCTCTAGATTTCAAGAATCCCCAAATGATCTTAAATAAAATTACAGAACCAATTTATCAGAACTTGATAATTTTCTACATTCTACAGTTTGCCAACTTTTAAAAAATGGAAAACAATGAAAATTATGTTCAAATCTCATAACAGGAACTCCATTTTAAAACCATATTTACTTATCTTAAATAATGACACAGTAAAACAAAAGAACAATTGTAAGCCCACTTTGTTAGGGAGAATGTCAAAGCTGATTTTAAAAAAGAAAATCAACAATATTTGAATCTACTTACAACCTTTCTGATGTTGGATCAAGTGCAGCAAGCAAGAGAAGGCTGATTTTCTTCAGTCTGTAAGGATTTAATTTTTTTTTTTCCTTTGTCTTGTACTGATTTTATACAAGAGTGGGTAAGAAAGTCATCGCTAGACTTAGGATCTAGCTTCATTCTGAAGAAGAAAGACTTCTTCTGTTACCAAGGATGCAATTTCAGGCTTTTTTTTTTTCTCTCCCCACCCAAGGTTGTTCAAAAGCATCTTCCTTTGGGTTTACCTTTTTTTTTTTTTTGCTTGCTCAACCATGATTGTAAAATTATTAATGGCATTTGTCCATTAGTCTCAAAGAAACTGTTTAGCCCCCTTTGGGGTGTATTGGCTATAGAAAGTCATGCAATTGCATCTCACTACCTGGGTTGAGATTCCCAGCAGATCACACACAAGTAGATACAATCAAAAGCAGAACTCAAACAGAGCTTGTCCAGAAAAGTTCTTGCAGGATTTCCACAGAAGTGAGAAATGAGGATCCCATGATGACTTGGGGTTGCAGTACATATATGCTCATGGGATTCTATCCTAGAGTCCAAAGAGTAAGAGAATTTTATGGCTCTCTAAACAGATCTAAGGAGCACTCCAGCAAATTGACTAATTCCAAGAAATAGTGATGGTTTTAGTAAAACTAGAAGTCTTTATGGAAGCAGGATCCAGACTTAAAACTGCCATCCCATATCCTACAGTTTCCACCTTCCTCTTTATCTGAGGTAGCAACAAGCATAAGAGTGAACTGAATTCAACTGGACAAATCTACAGGTGAAGAAATAGTCATCAGGATCTAAGTTCTAAATCTTCAAATTCCATTAAAGCACCCTATATGGATGGTCTCCCCAAAATTCAGAAAAGCAGCAGCTGTCTCTGAACAAAGGAATAGACAGAAATGCAGAAATGCTGAGAAGCCACTGAATCATTTAATAGTCTTCATAAACCTATTGTGAACCAAAGTTTCATATAGTCTGAAACGTAAGGGTGGGAGTCGCTGACAACCAGGAATAAAATCCAGTTCCTTACAATAAAACAGCACTGAGATTTGTAAATGATGACCAAGGTTGAGAAAGCCCTGACAGATGTAATGGGCTAGAATGACAGATTACCTTAATGCGCTTCCACAAGAAGAAGCAGACTCAAGTGTTTTGATGTCATAATTATGATTAGTAACTTAGGATGATCGTATCTACCATAATGCATGACACCAGCTCTTTTTCTCAAGGGGCAGCAATATACCGATGAAAAAAAGAAAAGCACCAACTTCATTTATATTTGTTATTTCTAAGAATACGTTTTTGCAGATTTCAAGTTTCTTAATGAAAAAGTGTTTACTAAGGAGACAATCTTCAATCTATAAGAAAACCATCATAAGACCCAAGAATACAAATGTGAAAATTTCCCACCTGCATTTTCACTTAAGAAATTAACTAAATCAATTCTTTTTTCATTGCCTTAGAATTGCTTTGGACAGGGGCCATATACAATTGTTCGTGGATAAAGAATATAATTAGTTCTGATCAGCTTATATTAGCTTCTGTCTTAGCCCAACATTGAAGTCACATCTTTTACAAAATAGATAGATTGGAGGTTGGTACTTTGTAAAGAAGTCATAATCAACGAAGATTCCGAACATCAAACTTCTTAGTTTTATTTCATTTTATAATTCAAAATTAAGAAAAATTAAAGATTCTGCCAAATATTCTCATGTTAGGTGGGGCCAATACCCTGTCAGGAGGTCTGTGAACCTCGTGCCAAATAGCTACGTGAGCAAATAGTGAGATAAACAAGCCATTCATGGAGACAGAGGTGGAGCTGGGCTTGGTTAGGAATGAATCAGGCCAACCCACAGAGTGGGTGTCTCCTTCCCAAGTTGCTCTCCAGGGCACAATTAAAACCCCTATAAAAGGCCCTGCTCTCGGTTATCCAGTACACTTGCCAGCGGTGTCAGTGAGCACTCAACTTCCTCCTCTGGTGAAGTGGGTAAGTTTCATTCTGTATGATTCTTTAACTTCTAGACATTGGAGATGTTGGGGGTGGGGGGTAGTTTTCTGTGCCAGAAGGGATCCGTATCTTAAGGTGTGTCTAACACTCAGGAACTCCATTCCATCTTCTTATGGTTGAAGCCATTACGTGAGTGAAGATGCGAGCCTTCTCCCAAGGCTCTGAACTCTGTATCATATCTTTGTCAGGGATTGGAGTTGGATCATGTCTGATGAGGTTCATCTTCCAAAATAATTGCTCTCTCAAGAATTTGTCAATCCCCTGTCTCTTTTTATATTGGTTCTACACAAAATGGACCATCTTCATACAGTTATGGTATCTGAGGTACTGGAGTTGAGAAGTAAATAAAGAATCCAATCAGGTGAGCCAGTAAACTCACCCAGCCTATGATGCCATCCAGTTCTTTTAACATTAATCTACTGATGGCTAAGTCCTGTTTTTTATAATGTCAAGATTCAAATGATTTATTTGGATTTAACAAAAGCTTACCACAACACCAGTAGTATTCAAAGTTTTCCTGGTTCAGTTTGACCTATTGACCTCAATAGTCAGTCAGGAAGGACCTCTCAGATACTTTTGATAATTGAATATCTGAGAGTAATATATGAGAGTCAGGCATGTAAGGTGCACTCTCTGTTCTCTGAAAGTGTATCTGTGTCTTGACTAAGAAGCAGTAGTATTTAATTATAGGACTGATACTATATGAGTTCTACCTCTAGACCTCTTATGGTATATAATGTTGGGGAATAATTCACATTCCTTTCTTATTACTTTAGTTGCTCCAATATATCTTGCAGCCACATTTAGCTGTGCATGACTTCTGTACACTTTAAAATACTCTCAAATGTTCCCTCACCTTTTGGCTTGCACTAATCCTCTTTGCTCAATTTTAGAGGAATCTGCTTGTAAGCAAGAATATAGCAAATTTAAGTTTTCTTATTCCTCTCTTCACTCTCTAATCTGAAATATGGTGACAAAATATGAAGACAAAAACCAAAAAACCAAACTCATTGCCATAGTCAATTCTGATGAACAGCAAGCCTATAGGACAGAGAAGAACTAACCCACAAGGTTTTCAAGACTGTAAATCTTTCCAGAAGTCGACTGCCACATCTTTCTCCCACAGAGTGGCTGGTGGGTGAACCTCTGACCTTTCCATTACCACCAGTACTTCTTAGCTGGAAGATGGAGAAGGAAAATATATGCATAATCTGGATTGAAGAGATAATCAAAAGCTGTCTGAATAGTCAAACAAGACTATCTTCAGTATAGTTTGAAGACAATTCCTGGGCTTGGAATTTCTCAGCGTCTCTCTTCTCCTTCCTGAGTACAATACTTAGAGGGGAAATGCTTTGCAAATGAAGGTTTTAGAGAGTTACTGTTGTAAAATCAAACTATTCAACAAGGATCTATGGTGAAAAGCCTTCTTAAGAGTAGAAGGAGGGTTTTGATTCTGGACCCTATTTTTTTTGTTCTAGGTAAACTTGAACTTGAAGAAAGAAAACATGTCTCCACTTCTGAGAAACATCTTTGACATCACTGACATTTTCAATCAATATGCCTCAAATGGTTGTGAGGGGCCAGCACTAAGCAAGAAAGACTTAAAGGAACTCCTTGAAAGAGAATTTGGAGATGTCCTCCAGGTAAGAGTCAACAAGAAAAGGCAATCTCTATTGACTTGTTGTTCTTGTTGTTAAGTGCTGTTGAGTTGGTTCTGACTCATAGCTACCCAACATAGGGTTTCCAGGGAGCAGCTGGTGAGTTTGAACCACCAACTCTGCGGTTCAAACCAACCTTGTGGTCCAGCGCTTATCCTACAGCACCATACCATTTAATTTAGGGCTACGCAATTTCTTGAAAGCCCAGAGCAAAGAGCAGTGATTTTCTAGATTCACTTTACACCGTGCCAGGTCTACACTACATCCTCCATTCATTATGAGTCTAAAGTCACTTAATTGATATTGTAGTCTGAGTACTAAAGAAATCGCTAGCAAATATTTAGTATACTTAATGGCAATGTGAATAAGTGAATTATTCATGGTAATTATCACCAAAGAAATCAAATCAAACTAGATTAGGGAGGATTTTTAATTTAATTCCAAATTTCAAGCACCGAAATTAACTGATGCCTAGAAAGTGGTGTTATATATAATAATGTTTTATTCCGTTTTCAAACATAGGATAGAAAGCTAACTAGAGTGGCCATTCCAGATAGAAATTGCTGCTGCATATGTTCATGATTGTTCTAGTTGTCCATTAAGGATGAGTCCATTTTTATTCACCAAGTAAAGAGAATGGTGTATTCTTTTCTAATTCACAAGATGCAAGAATTTCCAATTGAATGCAAGCGTTACAATGATGTGTTCACATTTTACGTGGGGGAAAACAGACATACACTGGGCATTTATTATGTGACTGAAAGTTGTTGATCTCATGTAGTTTGGCTGTAAATATCACATCGTAATATGTGTTTCCCATCTTTTTCATAGAGACCACATGACCCTGAGACGGTAGATATGGTCCTGGAACTTCTGGATCGCGACGGTGATGGGCTTGTCCATTTCAACGAATACCTCCGGTTAATTTTCAGGGTGGCTCAAGCTTGTCATTACGCTCTCAGCCAGGTCACCGGGCTAGATGAGGAGCAGAGAGAAAAGTGTGAGGGAAAGGGGAACCAACTAAAAGAACGCAGGCAAGAAACCCAAAGGAGATTTGAGTCCCGGGACAGACCACTGGAAGAAGAACTCAGGCAGAAGCGGCAGGAGCAGGAGAGGGCACTCGCTGAGGAAGAGTTGCAGAGGCAAGAGCGACGTGAACAGCGTGACAGGCGGCTGCGAGAGGAGGAGCAGAGGCTGCAAAGGCGAGAACTCCAAGAGCGGGAAGAGAGAGGCGAGGAGAAAGAGCAGCTGCAGAGACGCAAGGGTCGGGAGCCTCAGGAGTTTCCAGAGGAAGAGCAACAGCAAAGGCGAGAAAGGCAGGCGCAGCGGGAGCTACAGCGACTTGAAGATGAAAGGCAACAAAGAAGAAAGCAGCAGGAGCGCCGGGAAGTAGAAGAGCTGCAAAGGCGGGAAACGCAGGAACTGAGGAGGGAGCTCCGTGAGGAGGAACAACTACTGCAGAGGAGAGACAGGCAAGAACAGCTCAAGAGGGCGAGCCAGGAGGAAGAGCAGCTGAAAAGACGCGAGCAGCTCGAGCGCCTGGAAGAAGAAGAGCAACTGCAAAAGCGGGAAAGGCAGGAACTGAGGAGGGAGCGACTCGAGGAGGAGCAACAGCAGAGGCGCGAGAGGCTGGTGCGCGGTGAAGACGAGGCACAGCTGCAAAGGGGGCGCCTGGAGGAAGAAGAACGTAGGCAAAGGCGGGAGCGATCACAGCTCAAGAGGGAGCGCCGCGAGGAGGAGCAGCAGCTGCAAAGGCAGAGGCGCGGGCGAGAGGAGCCACGCGAGCAGGAGAGGCGCGAGCAAGAACTGGTACAGGAGGAAGAGGAGCTGGAAGTGGCCCAAGAGCAGAGCCAGAGCCTCACCCCGCGGTGGCAGTGGCAGCTAGAAAGCGAGGTGGAGGCACGTCAAAGCAAAGTTTACTCCAGGCCCCGCAGGCAGGAGGAACTGAGGCGCCGCCAGGAGGAGGAGAGGAGTCGACGCCTGGAGCGAGAGCAGCAGTTGCGGGAGGAGCTGGAAGACGATGCCCAGCTGCAGGTCCGACCCCGACAGCTGCGGGAGGAGAGCGTGCAGCTACGGCGGCAGGAGGAGCAGGCTCGCCGGCAAGAGGAGGAGGAGCAGCGCCGCGACTTCAAAAGACAGTGGCAGCTGGAGGAAGAGAGAGAGGGGCGCCGCCAGCAGCTTTCCACCAGGCCTTCCGTGAGAGAGCAGCGGGAGAGACAGGTGAGAATGCAGGAACGTCAAGAGCAGGAACAACGGTTCCAAGAGGTGGAGGAGGAGCGACGCCAGCTGCGCGAGAGGGAGCAGGAAAGGCAATTCCTCCAGGAGGAAGAGGAACTCCAGCGCCGTGAGCGCGCAAGACAGTTCCAGGAGGAGGGTGACCTCCAAGAGGAGAGGAGGCGACTCCAAGAGGACCAGCGCCGAGGCCAAAAAATGAGATGGCAACTCGAAGAAGAAAGTCAGAGACGCCGCCAAGTTCTGTATTCCAAGCCGGCCAGGCGGGAGCAGCTGCGCGAGGAAGAATTGCTGCAGCGTGAGGAGGAGCAGCTCCGGCGTCAAGAGCGCGACGGCCAGTACCGCCAAGAGCAGCTGCAGCAAGAGGAGAAGCAGCTGCAGAGAGAGGAACGAGAAAAAAGAAGGATCCAGGAGCGAGAGAGACAATGTCGGGACGAAGAGCAGCTACAGCAGGAGGAAGAACAGCAGCAGAGGGAAAGGAGGCGCCAGGAGCGCGAAAGGCTGTATAGAGAGGAGGAAGGGCTGCAGCGCCAGGACAGGAAGCGACAATTCCGTGATGAAGATCAGCGTCGCGATCTGAAATGGCAGGTGGAAACAGAAAATGAAGTTCAAAGTAACAGAGTTTACTCCAAACGCACAGTGAATGAAGAAGAGACCCAGCAGGTGGAAGATTCCCAGGTCCGGGACAGAGAATTCCAGAGGGACCGACGATCCCTGCAGGATGAACTGGAAGAAGAGCGCTCTTTCCAGGATCGAGAGCAAGAGAGGAGACGTAGACAGCAACGCGACAGGCAATTCCAAACCGAAGAACCACTGGAGGGGGAGGAGCGAGTGGAGGCCCAGAGACGAGAAAGGCAGTTCCAAGAGGAGGAGGTACTGCTAAGAGAAGAAATAGGAGAGAAGAGACGCCGTCAGGAAGGAGACAAGAGATTCCCTGAAGAATACTTCCAGCAGTCGCGTGATAGACGATTCCAGGAGGAGGAGCAGCAGCTGCGCCGCCAGGAACGCAGTGAGGAACAACTGCGCCGCCAGCAACGCGACAGACTATTCCGAGAGGAAGAGCAGCTTCGCCAGGAACGTGAGGAGGAGCAGCTGCGCCGCCAGCAGCGCGACAGACAGTTCCGCGAGGAAGAGCAGCTGCGTCAGGAACGCGAGGAGGAACAGCTGCGCCGCCAGCA